CGGTGCCAGGGACTGAACCAGGGTCAGACGCATGCAAGGCGCATACTTGCACTTCTGTATGGCCACTCCAGCCAAGGACATCCCTTCACACTAAGATCATCATCAATGCCCGGCCATTACTATGTGCAGAACGAAACGATCACGGTGAACAACAGAACCAGGATACAAGGTAGTAGGAACAGAAACAGGCAACTGGAGACATTGATTCACTCCACTCAGCTAGATGAGGCAGACAAAAAAAAAAAGGGCTGGAGCGATAGTACAGCGGATAAGGCATTTGTAAGAATATACAAATATCCAAACAGCATGATCAATAGAGATCTTAGAGAAGACACATTCTCAAATGAGCATGAAATACTAAAAAAAAAAAAATTACTAAGAAGACTTGAATTAAGAAAGCCATGAATTAAGAAAAAGTACCCCCCAAAAAAACCCCACTCTGATCTTAAACTAAATAACACTAGAAATTAATAACCAAAAAGGTCCATCTTCCTAGAGATAAGTAACATCTATTAACTCACGGGAAAGTGGAGAACTAAAAAAGAAACTGAAATCATTTCCTTTAAGATGGCTCTGGCCCCAGGGCGATGGGTCAGAGGTTGACAGCACCTGTCCTGCAAGTGTGAAGCCATGAGTAGGACCCCTAGTGCTGTCCATGTGCGCTGGGCATGGTTCCTGAAGAGCTGTTCCTCGGAGCCCTCAGTTTCTCCACAGTGAGTGCAAGAACCACAGTTAGAGTTTGCAGCCTCTGCGCAGCATGTGTGTGACATCGGACACAGACCCCCCTCCCCCCAGCGGGCACCACCATGAAGCGTTCATGTTTGACACCTGGCCAATGCAACAACAGCAACAAAGGGGGTGGGTGGAAAAAGGCTGTTCCCCCCCCCCGCCTTTTGAGGGGGTACATATCCCCCGGCAGTGCTCCGAGCTTCCTCCTGGCTCTGCACTCAGAGGTGTCTCCTAGTGGTGCTCGGGGGAACTCCACAGGTGTGGCGCGGATTGAACCCAGATTGGTCCTATCAAGGCAAGTACTCTGCACACTCCGTCTACTGCTCCCAGTTTTCTTTTTTCAATTTCAAAATCTATGAAACGTATTTAAAGCAGCAGAGAAAAAGTCAAATCCAAAAATAACCATTACAAAAATAAATGAGGGAGTAAAAATAAACTATGTGCCAAAGAGAGAAATAGATGAAAAAAAGAGGGCCAGACAGACCGAACAGAGGTTGCCTGGCCTGGGGCTGACATTGGGTCAATCCCAGACCCCACAGGGCCCCCCAAGTACCACCAGGAGTCACACAGAACCAGAAAGAGCTCTGAGCACCACCAGGTGTGGCCCCAAAACAGCTTCACCCACCAAAGATGAAAATGAATACCAGAGCCCCAGTGAGCCCCAGGTTGATGTCATTCGGCTATTCCAATGTGTGTCCAAGTGTCTTTGTCTGGGGATTGATTGATTGACTCCCAGTCATATAGGCAGTGAGTGCACTTTAGCCCTGAGCTACATCCAGGACCTGGGATGAATGTCTAGGGTCCCAGAAGACAGGCAGCAGAGAGAATCAAGCAGAAAACATGTCAAGATTAATTTTTAATTTCCCCAGTTCGATGAAATAAATACTTTTACAGACTTTAAGAAGCCTGGCAAACCATAAATTTAAAAACTGCCTTCAGATACACAAATGATAAGCAGCTCAGGTATATGAAAATAAAGGAAAAACCCACTGATAATACTAACAGAAAGTGATGAAGAACTCTGGAATAAAAACATAAACGCATGTGGGAGGGATACTGGGATCATTGGTGGAGGAGAATGGGCATTGGTGGAGGGATGGGTCATTGTATCGTTGTATGACTGTAATGTAAACACGAAAGTTTGTAAGTTTGTAACTGTACCTCACGGTGATTCACTAATAAAAAACAAAAATAAAAACAAATAAATGTACAAAGCTAAAAACAAACATATACAGAAGCAGCTCACGCAGGAAGGTGGGGCTTGCGGGATTGTGACATCATAAGAACGGGTCTCGGGAACTAAGCGGGGGGGGGGTCTTCAGAAGAGGCTAAGAAAGGCAAGCTACAGAACAGTCTCATGTGCCTTTTGTGCAGGAAAGAAGGAAAACAAGAAATGTATTTACAAGAGCTTGTTTGGTGGAAATGAAGGATCCACTGCACACTAGTGCGGTTGGTGACACCAGTGGGTGGAGGAGGAAGGCCCAGGGCTTGGAGCTGTGTCTTGGAGGACACCTCTTTGTGGTAATTTTGAATTTTAGAACCTTCTTAATAGATCACACACTCAAAAATAACCTGCAAGGAAGCAGAAAATCCCAATTCTGAAGACAAACACAACAGACACACCAAACTTCATTTTAAATAAATAACACAGACATGCTAACGAAAGGACAGAAGCAACTGCAGCAGTGTCTGAATCTAATATTTGGACTTTGATGTTTTGGGATGAAGACAAAGAAATAGAAACAAATATTCAACTCTGACTAGCAAATATTTTGTAAGCAGCTTTACTGAGATATAATTTACAGATCATAAAAAGTTGACTTGCTTCGAGGGCTTGCAGATTCCTTTTTGTGGTAGTATGCATTACCAATTCTGAAACTCCTCCACAGGCGTTCTAGAATTAAACATAAGAATGTCTCTACTGCGGATATGGACGATGGCAGCCAGTTGTCTCCCCATCAGAGAAAGGAGGCTACAAAGAGGGAGAGCTTGAGTGAATCCTGGGATGCTGGGGGACATGGGAAGTAGAAGTAATGATTCTTGATTTATAATTGATCCAGTGAGAGGTTTGGACAGGGACTGAGGGGAAGAGGGAGAGAGAGGGGGAGGGAGAGGGAGATGGGGTGGGGGGGTGGGGGGGAGGGAGGGAGGAGAGAGAGAGAGAGAGAGAGAGAGAGAGAGAGAGAGAGAGAGGAGTATGTATGTGAATAGGAGTTTTTCTATTTTTATCCACTGAGAAGACAGAGAAGTAGTGAATAAACAGTTAACAATGCTCCACACACACCTAGTTCCCAGATGCTGGTTAGAAATCCTTGATTAAAATGAACCCGACTTCCTAGGAGAAATAGCTGGAAAAGTATCAAGGTGAGCCTGAAAAATCTTCTTGTGCCAGAAATTCAAACCAGTACTCCCAGAATGATGTGAGCCATCAGGAGGACAGAGAAGCTAGCTTAAGGCAGCAAGCTTTCAAGGGCCAGTGCGAGATAAACTGAGCATCAAAATTAATAATAATAGTAACAGTCATGATTACCAATGGCATATTTATAGACAGAATAAAACAAGATACCCTGCTTCTATACTGCTATTAACTAATAAAGGGAGCAGAAAGGAAGCTCATCTATAGAGCAGAAGGCCATCGAATAAATGTAAGAAATGACAGAATTAGAAAATTGCCACTTAGCAACTGGCAGCCTAATAATTGTGTGGGACAACCACCCACGAACATTACAGCTATTTAGTACAGGTGAGAGTTCGGCGAGGAACAGACTGATTTATAAAGGTAAAGGTAAAGGCCCTCCCGTTGATCGTCGATTTGCTCGAGCGGGCCCAGTAACGTCTCCATTTGAGACTTTGTTGTTACTGTGTCTGGCATATCAAATACTCTCGGTAGCTTGCCGGGCTCTCCGAGAGGGGCGGAGGAATCGAACTTGGTTCGGCCATGTTGGCTGCTTGTAAGGCGAACGCCCTACCACTGTGCTATCACTCCAGCCCAGACTGATTTATATGAAGTCAAATTATTTCCTCACAGTATACTTATGTCAAAATTCCAAGGGGGAGAATAGTTACTTTAGTGGAGATACTTGAAGGTCCACCCTGATCAAATGACCTAAGTTAATGTCACCAATAAATGGTCCAACATGTCCTGAGCCAAGGAGGCCTGTGCCACGTTCATACCACTTCTGTGGTCTTCCTGCCAAAAGGGCAAACTTGATTTAATCATGAGGGCTTGAGTGAGGAACTGCAACTGAACGTCATTCCACAAAATAACTGAGCTCCGTTCTTCTAAAATGTCACAAAGAAAAAGAAAAGAAGACTAAAAAAAATGGTTCATTTTAAAAGGAGACTTAGAGAATTGCCAATTAAATGTAGAATGTCATCCAGGACTGGATTGTGAAACAGGAAACATTTTTATTTCTTTCGCTGTAAAGGATATTATTGGAATGCCAGGCATAATTAGAATGAGGTCTGGGATTATTAAATAGTTTTGTACAAATGCTAATTACTGATTTAAGTAACTATACTATGGTCATATAAAAATGTTTTTAGTTTCAGGAACAAATGCTGAAGTTTTTAGAGGCTAAAAAAAGGTAATATGTCTGCAAAATACTCTTAAATAGTTCACGGGAAAAAGATTATTGATATGGAAAGGTTCCAATAAAGCGAGTGTGATTAAGACCTTTATCTTTGTGCTTATTTTTTTGAGGGGCCATGCCCAGTGGTGCTTCCTCTTGTCTCTGCACTCAGGGATCACTCTGAGTGCTGCTGGGGATTGGAAGGGAGTCAATTATGTGCAGAGGCAAGCCCTACACTCCTGCACTATCTCTCTGCTCCAAGGCATTTATCTAAATGAATGAAGGCTACACAGGAATCCTTTATACCATTTCTGCAACTTTCCTTCAAGTCAAAAATTATTTCAGAATTAAAGGGTTTTTAGAACTTGCTGAGGCATAAAGCATACAATTAGCTCTGAGCATGTCAGTATCTGTGAAATGTGACAACAGGGGCAGGCTCATTGCCCTTTGGAATGAGCAGTACTGGGGGCCCATAAGGCAGCTTTGAGGCTCTTGGGAGAACAGGGTCACACCCAGAGGTGTGCTGGGGCCTCCAGGGTTACACGTGGTAGTACTGGGGCAAGAGGCATGTGTGCTGGAGCTCGAACCTGGGTCACTGTATATGCAAAAGATGCACCTCTGATCACTGAGTTCTCTCCCTGGTAAAAGCTTAAGTTTCTAATGACAAAAAACTGCAGGTAGAAAAGAACGCTACCATGCTTGCTTCAGCAGCACATATACTAAAATTGGAATGATACAGAGAAGATCAGCGTGGCCCCTGTGCAAGGATGACATGCAAATTCATGAAGCGCTCCATATTTTTGATGGTCACTCAATGCCTCTATTGCAAACCACAACACCCTAAAGGAAAGAGAGAGCAAAAGGGAATCCCCTGCGGGGCAGGAGGGGTTGCGGTGAGGTGGTAAGGTGGGGGAAGGGATACTGGGATCAGTGGTGGTAGAGAATGGGCACTGGTGGAGGGATGGGTAATTGGTCACTGTATAACTGAAACCCGAGCACGAACATTTGTAAGTCTACAACTGTACCTCATGGTGTTTCACTAATAAAAATTAAATTAAAAAAAGAAAAGAAAAGAATGCTACAACCACTGCAGAGTTACTGGAAGTGTCTGGGGGAAATCACTGCGCCACCGCACCCCTGGGAACACGTGCTCAACCGCCCAGAAAAAAGCTGGAACCCAGGAACCCAATATCAATGCCTTTATTCTAAAGTCCTGTGCACGCGCGCGCACACACACACACACACACACACACACACACACACACACACACCCATTCCAACATTACCTATAGCAGTAAAGCCCAGGAAATGCTCTAAATGTTCTCCTTGGCTCAGGACACGTTGGTGATCATTTAGACAATTTCCTGGGCTTTACTGCTAGAGGTGTGGACATGGCACAGACATCCGTGGCTCAGGACACGTTGGACCATTTATTGGTGACATTAACTTAGGTTAAATCATGGCACATCGATATTGCACAGTCACTGAAATAATGGCTTCAAAGTTAAAAAAAAAAAGGAGAGGGCACTTCCAAAAAGAAAAGTCAAAAGTGAAAGCTCCGTCTAAGGGTGAGAAAAGGCCATCAAAATAAATGTACAAAACCTATGAATTAAAAATAAAGATCAAGATAAAATACTGGAATAGGGTGGAAAATTTTATATTCTTTATCTTGATGAATTTAAAAATTGGTTTAAAATGAGCATGCATTATGTTTATGATAAAAAGATGAATCCATGATATATATATATTTTTAATTTTTATTAGTAAAACACCATGAGGTACAGTTGTAGACTTACAAATTTTTGTGCTTGGGTTTCAATTATACAATGATCAAGTGCCCATCCCTCCACCAGTGCCCATTTCCCACCACCACGGATCCCAGTATCCCTCCCACCCCCCATCCCCTCATCCCACCCTGCCTCTGTGGCAGGGCATTCCCTTTTGTTCTCTCTCTCCTTTTGGGTGCTGTGGTTTGCAAAAGAGGCATTGAGTGGCAATCATGTTCGGTCTATAGTCTACTTTCAGCATGCTTCTCCCATCTTGGGTGGATCCTCTTAACATCCTTTATTTGGCGTTCCCTTCTCTATCTGAGCTGCCTTTTCCCCTAGCACGTGTGGCTGGCCTCCAAGCCATGGAGTAAACCTCCTGGTACTTATCTCGGCTATTCTTGGGTGTTAGTCTCCCATTTTGTTACTTTATGTTCCCCAGATGAATGCAATCTTTCTATGTCTGTCCCTCTCTTTCTGACTCATTTCGCTTAGCATGATACTTTCCATGTAGTACCACTTGTATGTAAATTTCATGACTTCATCTTTTCTAACTGCTACATAGTACTCCATTGTGTAGATGTACCAAAGTTTCCTTAACCAGTCATCTGTTCTCAGGCACTTAGGTTTCTTCCAGATTCTGGCTATCATGAACAGTGCTGCAATGAAACAAACAAGTGCAGATATCACTTCGACTATACATTTTTGCCTCTCTGGGATATATTCCCAGGAGTGGTATTGCTGGGTCAAATGGGAGCTCACTTTCTAATTTTTGGAAAATCGTCCATACTGTTTTCCAAAAGGGCTGAACCAGTCAGCATTTTCCACCAGCAGTGAAGGAGGGTCCCTTTCTCGCCACATCCGTGCCAGCACTGGTTGCTTTTGTTCTTTTGGATGTGGGTCAGTCTCTGTGGTGTGAGATGTGGTTTTGATCTGCATCTCCCTGATGATTAATGATGTAGAGCATTTTCTAATGTGCCTTTTTGCCACTCGGATGTTGGCAAAACCCTCCATGACATTGAAGCTAAAGGTATCTTCAAAGATGTCACACCACTGGCCGAGCAAGTGAAAACAGAGATAGACAAATGGGACTATCTTAAACTAAGAAGCTTCTGCACCTCCAAAGAACAAAAGTGATCAAAATACAAAGACAGTCTACAGAATGGGAAAGTATATTCACCGAATACACATCTGACAAGGGGTTGATATCAAGGATATACAAAGTACTGGTTGAACTCCACAAGAAGAAAACATCCAACCCCATCAAAAAATGGGGCGACAAGATGAACAGAAACTTTCTCAAAGAATCCTTGATATTTTCTATGTTGCAGTACCTTGAATCAGTAATCCTGTCTGCTCACATGTAAATTCTTTAAGCATGTTTAAAGGAATTTAAATTCTAGATAAGCAAATATATGCTTCTTCTATAAAAAAAAAAAAGCAGCAAGACAGCCATTAAGAAAAGTACGTAGGGCCGGAGCGATAGCACAGCAGGTAGGGCGTTTGCCTTGCATGTGGCTGACCTGGGTTCGATTCCCCGGCACCCCATATGGTTCCCCAAGCACCACCAGGAGTGATTCCTGGATGCAGAGCAGGAGTAACTTCTGAGCATCACTGGGTGTGACCCAAAAAGAAAAAAAAAGAACAAAAGTAGGTAACTATCTCACAAATTAAAAAATCCATTATTCTGGATTTTTTAATTGAGCAGAAACAAGTTACTTCATCAGGCCTGTCAGCAAATCATTATTTCCGGACTCTTAACAAAATAGGCACTTCCATACTCCCCGTGCTTCTGGTACTGTTCTGGGAAATGACTCGGATGCATCACACACTATCGTCATTCTCTCTGTTATTTGGCAAGTAAGCTATGCCTGACATTTTATAAAGCATTCAGAATGAATCCATGTGAAAAGCACTAACAAGATTAAAGAGCAACTTTTCAGCATCGCAAGGATTCCACCCAGTTTCAATGCTGAGGAACAACAAGATGACATAACACTGCTTGGGCACAGGCTGCCATAGGCCCAGGGGGCACCCCGATGGCACAGTGAGAGGAGAGGGACCTGTTTCTGGGGATCAAACTCAGGGATTTCCAAGCACTCTAGACTTCTGAATTATCTCCCTGGGCCCTACAAAAAAATATTTAGGAAAACACGAGTGGGATAGCAGAGATGTATTCAAACTATATATTTAGACAATCACGGCACATCTATATATATATATATTTATACATATACATATATATGCAGATATTTTTAAAGGGAAGGCTTTAAAAAGGCTTTAAAAACCCTCAGAAAAGAACACAATCAGGTACACTGCTGCTGCTTTTATGGACTTCAACTTTCAAATAAACACAGAAAAAAGGTTGGGAAAGTGGGCTAGTTTAGAAATAGTCTGAAACAACAAGTCAAATTCTTAAACACAAGATTGTTTCATAGTTAACACAGCAAATACGTATTAAAGGTTGGATTCTGCTCAGTGCTAGGGCGGCTGCTATGTTAAAAAACAATAATCACGAAACCAGTCAGGCCAAACTGTACCCACCATGATATGTTCTGATAAAATAGCAGCCTTCTAATGTTCTCTTTAAAAATACAGCTATCAAGCTGGGTGGACCTGGAGCTCAGGGCGGGGTGCTTCCCTTATATTTAAGGCCCTGGGTTTGGTTCCTGATACTGCAAAAACAAACAAAAAAATTTTTGTAAAAAACAGACATACCGATAGACACACTTATGACCATAATATTTATGCACAAAACTCTTACAGTTTTGGCAAAAGTCAATCTTTGAGTCAGTACACCGAAATCCTTCACTGGGGTTTCCACTCGCTGCTTTACAGAAACAAATGAAAATGTGCCTTCCTTCCCCAGTGACTGAGCTAAAAGCTGACAAAATCATCAACAAAGCCAAACTGAAAGCTGTGTTTAGGTCATAAAATCAGGGCAACTAAAATAAATTTAAAAAAATCACAATGACAATACAATCACAAGTGTGTAAAAACGCTACATACAAAAAAGTATGTATGTTCGGCTCTTCACACGCTACCTGTCTGAATGCAAGGTTCCATCCCAATGGAAAACCAGGAGGACCGTACTACTGTTCAAGAAGGGAGACATCCATGACATTGGCAACTATTGCCTGATCTGCCTATTGTCTGTCATCTACAAGTTGTTCACTCGAGTCATCCTAAATAGGATTGGCAGAACACTAGATGAAGGACAACCATGCGAGCAAGCCGGGTTCCACAAAGGATTCAGCACCATTGACCATATCCACACGATAACCAAGCTCATTGAGGTTTCTCGGGAGTTCAAGATGCCGCTCTGTTTAACGTTCATTGATTTAAAGAAGGCCTTTGATTCTGTTGAGATGGAAGCGGTCATTGAAGCCCTAGCCAATCAGGGCATTCAAGCCCAATACATCAGGATCCTCCGTGAGCTGTATTGCGGATTCACTACCAGGATCTCACCATTCTACAAAGAAGTGATCGTTGATGTCAAGAGAGGGGTGCGGCAGGGTGATACCATTTCACCGAAACTCTTCAGTGCCACCCTCAAGAACATCATGCGACGACTGGAATGGGAAGGAATGGGAGTGGAGATAGATGGTCGGCAACTACACCACCTCCGCTTTGCTGATGACATTGTTTTAATAACACCAAACATCAGCCAAGCGGCACAAATGCTGGCCGACTTTGACCGTGAGTGTGGAAAGGTAGGACGACAGCTGAATCTTACGAAGACAATGTTTATGAGAAACAGCCTCGTTCCTGACGCCCCATTCACTCTCAACGGAATGACCATCTCCGAATGCAACAGCTATGTGTACCTAGGTCGAGAGGTCAACATGAGAAATGACCTGGCACCCGAGCTGCGCAGGAGGAAGAGAGCGGCTTGGAACGCCTTCAAGAACGTCGAAGAAATAGCTCAGAGGACAAAGAACCTCCGGCTCCCGGCACATCTCTGTGATTCCACTGTTCTTCCTGCATTAACATATGCCTCAGAGACCTGGGCCCTACGCAAACAGGATGAGAACGC